CCTGAAAATAGTTAGGAATGCTAATAGAGGAAATTTTTGACACAAACGCTCTATATGAGGATGACAAATGAGAGTATAACACAATAGAATGTTGAGTTCAAGATCTCACACCCTTTCTCTTGACAATAAGAACATCAAGATCAATGAACTCAAGAGATACAAAATTACTTGGACTCTCACCAGAAGCAGGAGATGGCAGTGGAAGAGCAGAAGTGGTCTCTTGTATCCAATTAACTTTCTGTCTGCCTTTGTCCCTGACATAAACTTGCCCTTCCTTATCCTTGGTGACATTGGGTTCTGTAGTCCCACTAGTAAGAGGTGGTGGTGCAAAAACTAGTTCCACCATAGAAATCATAGGAATCACTTCACACCAAGGCTCCCCCTGAAGGGAGGACTGTAACACCGGAAAGGACAAGAAATAGGACTGGAACTCAAAAAAAGTGATGTCCATGGACACAAACCACTTACGAGAAGAAAAGTGGTAACACTTATACCCTTTTTGAGTAGAAGAGTAACCAAGAAAAATACATTTGAGAAAGCGAGGGTCCAACTTACCACGAGTAAGAGAGTGATTATGGACAAAACAGACACAGCTAAATATTTTGGAAGGAATAGAAAACAAGGACTGGAAACCGAGAAGGACTTGAAGAGGAGTTTGTTTGTACAAGACCTGGGCAGGAAGACGATTAATAAGATGGGCAGCGGTGAGAACAGCGTCGCCCTAATAGGACCGAGGCATACTCATAGAAAAACACATGCATCGAGCCATTTTAAGAAGATGGCGATTCATGCGTTCTGCCACCCAATTTTGTTGAGGGGTATCGGTGCAAGAGGTCTGATGGATAATGCCATGAGTAGAAAAATATTACCCTAACCCAGAATCTATGTATTCACCCCCATTATCAGAACGGACTATTTTGACAATGGCCCCAAACTGAGTACAAATCAACTGATGAAAATTGAAGAATAAAGAGAAAACCTCACTCGTCTTTCATGAGATACACCCAAGTAGTACGAGAAAAATCATCAATAAATGTAACAAACCATCGATGACCTTTCACAGTCATAACACGAGAAGGACCCCAAACATCAGAATGTATTAATAAAAAAGGAACTAAACTTTTATTAAAACTGGAAGCAAAAGAAGCTCTGTATTGTTTTCCAAATTGACAAGATTCACAAAAAAACTCAGACACATTATCGTTTGCAAAACCAGATGGAAATAAATGCTTAAATAAACAAAAAGAAGGATGCCCAAGACGCTGATGCCACAGCCATAAATCATCTTGGGTAGTAGAACTCGTGGTGGAAGAATGAGCAAGCTTGTCCAGTTAATCCAAATAGTAGAGACAATTTTCTGCACTACCACTGCCAATGTCCTCCTCGTGACAAGGTCCTCAAAAAGACAATGATCAGAAAAAAAATGTCACACTACAATTCAAATCCTAGTAATACGACTCAAGGATAACAGGTTAAACAGAAAATTTGGGAACATGGAGAACAGAAGATAGAAGTATGGTAGGAGTGACAAGGACTAAACCTTTCCCAAAAATGGAAGAAACAGTATCATTTTCAATCCTAACTTTGTCGTGACCTGAAGATGGCTTATAGGTAGAGAAAAAGTCAAAGGATCCAGACATATGATCTGAGGCCCCAGATTCAATAATCCAGGGCAAAAACTTATGAGACAAGAAAACACGAGGAGAAGAGGCTAAGTTACCTGAGCAGGCAAACGACGATAAAGATGTACTGAGAGCAGTAGAAGACCGGCGGTCGAGCAAGTGACGCAAAACATCCTCAAGTTCAGGAGTAGTCATGCCACAAAGACCATCAAAAGCCTGGCCAACGGAAGTAGAAGTAGCATCAAGTGTATCAATGGCACTAGACTGATGAGCCCGTGGATGGGAGCCACGTCCTCGAGACTGGCCTGACCGACCTCCTCGACTCCCGGATGGAATCCCATGAAACTTCCAACACGTCTCACGAGTATGCCGCGACTTTTTACAGTAATCACAGAATACAAACTCCTAGGCGACAGACGGAGGGATAGGAGTCAGGCTGAGACCATCTATAGAGGTAAACAGTAATGTTGAGCAGCCAGTAGAGACAGGAGACATCATAGCAGACCGACGACTCTCCTCATTCTGTACATAGGCAAATGCCTCCTGAAGTGAAGGAAGAGTATCCATACTCAGAACCCGACTCCGAACTGAATCATACTCCATATTAAGACCGGCTAGAAACTTGAAGACCCTTTCCTGTGCAATAAACTTCCGGTACCCGACTGAATCAGCAGTGCAAACAGACTTATAGTCCTGCAGGTGATCAAAGTGTTTCCAGCCATTGGTGAGGAAGGTGAAATACTGAAGTATCGTCTGCTCCCCCTGAACAGAGCTCTCAATAGAGCAGCGTAACTCAAATGCCTGTGAGAAATTCCCTTTGCAGGAATAGGTGGTAGCCACAGCATCCCAAATATCATGGGCAGTCTCCATAGATAAATAGCCCTCGCCAATGTCTGGCACCATCGAATGAATAAGCCAACCCATAATCAAAGAGTTGGTAATCTCCCATTGGTCATAACCCGGGTCAGTTGTGCTGGGTGCATGAATCCAGCCATCCACATCCCATCTTCCCTCTGCTCTTCAAAAATATAGTCAAACTCTGCGACCACGCGAGATAATTCTGGCCATTAAATAGAGGAGGTAGTGATTTTAAGACTAGGGTTGGGGTTATCAGTCATTGTAGCAAGTATAGGGACACTCTCACTCCTAGGTGTCTGAGAAGTAGTGGACACACAGGTGAAATTTGCCATAGATACTATACTACTGAACCCTCAACAAAACTAGTGTCAATCACAAACCCGGAAGGTGGAGGATTACAAACACAATGACCACTAAGAAAAATTAAAGACTTAAAAATTTCATCAACCCCTTTTTTTCTTTTTTTTTTTCTTTTTTTCCTTTACTGCAATTTTTTTTTTTTTATTTTTTATTTTTTTGAGATTAAAGGGGAAAAACAAAGCAGAGGTTTAGCTGTTGAATACAGACCACAAAATGTAACTCAGCTTACGTATCACACAACTCAGCAAAGCAGAGGTTTCGGTGTCGACAGGGACAGACGACGACTCACCCTTTTTCGTCCCTTGCCAACAACACTAAGGCCAGGAGGCCTGACGGCAGTGGTCGACTGGGTTGGGAGAGCCCAACGACTAGCTCTGTGGTGGCCGACTCGGCTGGGAGAGCCCAACGACGACTGGCTCTGTGGTGGCTCTGTGTGTGTCGACTGGCTATGTGTGTGTCGAAGAGGTGCGACGCCTGGCTCTGTAGTGGCGATTGATGACTGTATAGGTGAGGAATTTAGGTTTTAGGGTTTTGCTTTGATTCCATGCTATTTTTAGAGAATTCCAAGATTGGGAAATGATTAGGATATCATCCCTATTTATATTAATAATTACAAGGGAGCCCTAAGGCATAGAATAATTACAAAATAATAACCCAAATAATAATATATAATGCTAACACTACTTTCCCCTCTCCATACAAAGATTATGCAAATTTATTAGTCAACCAAAGGAACATTCATTGGAAGGCATAAGCTATCATTTCTCATTGTCAAAATGTCTATTAATAACCAAATCTTCTAAAAGTTAAAGGTGTTAGCATTAGGCAATAAGCCTAACATCTCTCACAACCTCACATGCAACCTTTCTTACATATAGAAACCCAAACACACATAACATGGAGCACACATAAATAAAAAACAAACCAAAGTGCATACAAACAAACAAACATAACGGATGAACTAGCGTACATGCAAAGGTCTGCATCCAAGACCTCTCAAATCAAAGCATTGATACTACATTAGAAAACTAAATTTTCCAAAAGACTATGTTACTAAGGAATAGGCTCAACAAAATAGGTTCAACAATGTACATCAAGCTCTCCCACCCTCCCAAATGCTTAAGAATTTCTCGCATATGGGGAAACAAAGGAAAAAAAGGTGAACACCAACAAACTAGAGATGCATGAAAACAAATATAATGCACCGGGGGGGGGGAACATTTAGAAACTTGAACTCTAGACCTTCTGTTACCAAAGCCCTAAAATCATGTTAAAAACTAACCCCTCTAGAAACCTAAGCTATTACGAAATGGAACCAATGATGTATACCAAGCTCACACAAAGTCTACAACTTGGTTTTATTCTTCTCTGTACAGTTTGTTTCCTTATATCTTTCAATTCCATTTTACACCTTCATCTATTCCACATACATAAATATTTTATAAAAAATTACATATGCTTCCCATAACATATGTTTTCTAAGCTAGTCCTAGAGCAGGAAGGTCCTGTGCTCGAACCTAATTACCTCCTTACGCCTTGGCCCGCTCATGACAGGAGAGGTCATACAAGGGATCATTGATATAAATATTCAAGTTACTTTTGTTGTAACAACTTAAGCTTTTAGAGTTGTTGGTAGTTTAACCATAGTAATTTATGCTTCCACACGCAAACCTCGAGCTTAATTTGAAAAAGGATAATATGATGAAAATGGATGAACCTTGGAGCACAGTGATACCTCTAGCATTGACTATTTTTGCAATTGGCAATTGCTTTCTGTTTTTGAAGCACCAAAGGGGATCTAAAACAAGGGACCAAATGGCTGATGAACACATGAAGCATAATTAAGGGAAACACACTGGCAAGCATAGAAAAAGGAAGTAACAAGAATATGTTATATTGAAAATTAATGAAACACATTAAGCAAGGCAAGACGAAGCAATTAAGCTATAGATGGCAAGAGAATTTTACTCGAAACAAAATATCAAAATTCAGCAACATGCAACATCACTCTATCCAACTAGAATGCAGTCCCAAGCAATAACAGAAGAAAAAAATTGCTAGAATACAAAGATTTCAACATAAATATCAGAACTAAACAATACATTTGTTCTCAATTGTCATGTCATCAATCATATAAATATTTGCAGAATAATTCCATACCTCAGTAGCGATCTTTTCTACTTCATCCTTTTGCATAGATAGGCTTTCAAATAAGGCCGACTCTTCTTCCTTCAATCTAAAGTAACACCCTTTAAGAGGGTCAGAGGACATTTGGCTTGAAAGCATTTTATGCTAAATATATGTATACATAAACAGCTTAAATGTCAAGTTGAGATACATATTACAAATTGAAATCCTATTTTTTGAATCAATAACTATACCATGTCATGAATCATAAGTTGAGTTAACAATTTTAAAGATAGATAGGAAATAGAAGGCTTGTATTGAAATAAAATATCTATTGTTAGAATGTAAAATATAGTAATACATTCCTTTTCAGTGACATGGTCACGCCATCTAGTATGTCAATTCCCATATTCACCATCTGATATTTGGTTTTCTTTTTCTTTTTCTTTTTCTTTTTTTTGTACTTCTAAAGTTGATTAATGTCACCAACTTCTCTTTCAGATTTAAATCCTTGTCATATTCACCAAGAAAATTTCATTGTCTTAGCTTAAAAGGGCATTTTATCAAAATAAAAGCCAAAGCATGAAGAATTTACTAATATCTAGTTGGTTCCAAATTTCAATTTCTTTCAAAGTATTTCTTTAACTTTTCAAATTCTTCTTTTCGTTTATTGACATATTGATGTAGTGTAGTTGCTGCGATATTGAGAAACAAATGATATTTGCCAGACAAGTTAAAATTAGTCATGTTAGGAGTCTTTTAAATAATATTGCTACATTTTCATTTTATTAGGGCTGTTAACTGCTTTAAGTAATAGAAAGTAGCTACATGTTGAACACTAATACTCGTCAAACACTTCCTGACACATGTTACACACATGTCCAAACGTGTCCTTTCATTTTTTATTTTTCAAATTTGTATACATTTTGGACACTTGGGAGATACATGCATCTATCACTTAAATGCACATGAAACACATTATTATAAGTTTGAACAAAATAACTTATTATAAAATAATAAAAAAAAATTAATGTAGATTTGTATATATTAATCCCCATCCTTTACCCTTTAGGAATTAGTATTATGTCATATTTTTTTCATTATGTTTAACAGAAATATTCATACATATGACATAAAATAAATATATATAATTGTATATTTTTGGGTGTGACCCCACTCGTGTCCTACATTTTTTAAAAATTAGTGTCAACATGTCGTGTGTTAGCACTTCATAGTCCATAAAGTATTAAAAAAAATTAAAATTAAAAAAAAAAAGGGAACCTTTTGAACATTTGACCTATATTTCTTCATGCCAACCAAAACTTTTTTGTTTGTAGGGTTTAATGGGCTACGAAAATCTTGCAAATCATTCCAAATCACAAAATCCACAATTCCCTTTGATTCACACAAATTCATTACTATACAATACTAGTTATATTTGACCTAACTATCCATATAAAAAATGAATCAATCAATTACATTTAGAAAGATGGATTCTAAAATTTAATAACTATATTAAAAAGTAAAACAAACAAGAAACAACCTTGAAAGTGTTAAATTAGCAGCATCTAACTCATCTTGAAGTTCCTTTAGCCTTTCCTCAATCTCAAATTCCTCAACCTACAACAAAAAAAGATATTAAAAGCAGATATCATATTTGATGATGTTTTGCAATAGTAATTCAAAGTCTCTCCTAAAAATGGCATGTCAAGTTGTTGAAAGGAAAGGAGATCAAAAAATTGTATTAATCATTTGGCCAAAAGTATAAATGGAAGCAAATAATAACCATTGACTTCCAATGGTGGAAGTTTCCATGCAATATAGGATAGGAAACATGACTCAATTATCACATGCTGACATGGTATTTGTTGAAGCTCCATTGATTTGAGAGCGCTCTAGCACTTTCCAGTGAGATTATTTGCACTATAGTATGTATGTTTCCACTTCATCTAGCCACTAAAATTTAAAACAACAAAAATTATGAACATTAAAACCCTCCTAGAATATGAAAATCTAAATTAGGAAAACCAAATGCATGTGCAGTGAATGTGTCCACAGGAGTTGACAAGGAATGAAATATCATTTCAAGAACTTGTATTTTAAGGTGAAAATTCATTAGCACAAACTCCGACCACAAATTAGCAATCATTCCAATTATCATATAGTGAAATCTTTAGCCAGTATACCATGCTTAAAAATTTTACATGTAACTTGTGCATTAGAGTAAATGCAAGGTTTTAAAAAGCGGCCGCAACCGTTACGTAACGCCATTACGTAACGGTTGTGGTGGTTACCGTCATCCCTTACGGGCACTATAGTGATGTGAAGAAAATTCACATGTGTAACGGCCGTTTCGGTGTTACGTAACAGCAGTAGCAGTACCGTAACGGTCCGTTAGATACCATTACAACCCTTTTATAATATTCTAAATAGCTTCCTTTTTCCAAAAAAAAAACAAACAAATACCCAAGTGATCCAAGCCCAAAGAAAAAATCTTACATGAATTATTTTTCTTTATAATTTTTTTTTTTTAAATTTATGGCACAATTTTTATCTTATAATCATTTCATTTACTAATTTTGAATATTTTTTATTCAGTTAGTTCAGGTATTAGTAAAAAATAATTTGTAGACATTTAAAATCAATTATTCTTAAAATTATTAACTATTGAAATAAAATGTAAAACGCTCCTTTATAGTGATTTGAAAATATGAATATATTGGATCATACATAAAAATTAACAAAAATTGATCAAAATTTATTTTAAACCCCAATAAATGTGATTCTGAAAATATATATATATACATTTCAGGAAGTTTTCTTCAAATTGTGTGAAAAATAAAAAATTAAAAAAAAATCACAATTTCAGTTACTGCAACCGTTGCGCTACGGCCTTTACACCCCGCTACCGCGTCACCGCAGCCGTTACGGCGACTGTAACCGCTTTTCAAAACCTTGAGTAAATGGGAACCAAAACCAAGGCAAACTAATAAAAGAAAGAGAGATGATGCATTTATGTTTAGGAATCAATAATTTAATTCCCATGTATGAACTGAATGTTTACTGTGTAGGAATATGCTGCTTTAGAATGTCCAAATCATGTCAAATCCATGTCCCAGATTCCATTCTATCCAACATTTTTTTCTTTACTCTCTTTTTTCCCTTTTTTTGAACCAAAGCAGGGTGCCCCATACATACCTAGTTGATGTTAGTACTTGACGTCCACATAACTGACCATCTTAGCAAATTACATCTAAAGAAAGAGTAGAAAACCTAAACAAATAGTATGCAGTAATAAATGGGTGTAGCATATTTTAATTTTTAAGTCAAAAAACAATTAGCAATAGCCAGGAAAATAGAACAGTGAGAAACTTAACCTGTGTCTTCTTAACATGTTGCTCATGAATATCATGGACTTCAAAGTATACTGATTGGCCTCAATGTCAGTTTGCACCGCCATTTTTTGCTTCACCGACCGCATTGGAAAGTTCAACGGAGCAAACACAGAGGTGTTTGGTTGAGGTTCACTGGCCACCGCACCAGTTCTCTCTCTTGTTGACTCATTGAGGTCGGGAAAGAGAGTGAGTAGACCACGGGATGAAGAGGCCATATTCTGGGTAGCTGAACGGGAAGAAGAGGCCATGTTTTTTGGGTTGCTGAGTGTTTCCGAGAAGGGTTGGATACAGAGTATTTACAGATTGTTTCAGAATAACAAGTTCAGAGGTTTCAGTCTGGTTTGGTTTCCTCCGCCTCCGCATTGGTTTATATTGACACTGACGACGCAGCCGACACGCCGCTCTGTCACTCACGTGCCTCGCCGCGTCCCCGGCTCACCTTTTGATGGCTCGACGCTTTCTGTCGGGCACAACTTTTGATGAAGTGGGCGCGCCTTTTGAGGGCGCAACTTTTGATGGCACGTCTTTTTATGGATTGGGCACGCCTTTTGAGGCTGCGCCTTTTTAGGGGTCCGACAAGACTCTGTAAACTGTCCCGACATAGATTCCGGTTAGTTTCTACAAGGGTCCGACAAGACTCTGTAAACTGCTCCACTAAACCTAACCCACTACACCACTACCATCTCACCTACTCCACTAAACCTAACCCACTACACCACTACCATCTCACCTACTCCACTAAACCTAACCCACTACACCACTACCATCTCACCTACTCCACTAAACCTAACCCACTACACCACTACCATCTCACCTACTCCACTAAACCTAACCCACTACACCACTACCATCTCACCTACTCCACTAAACCTAACCCACTACACCACTACCATCTCACCTACTCCACTAAACCTAACCCACTACACCACTACCATCTCACCTACTCCACTAAACCTAACCCACTACACCACTACCATCTCACCTACTCCACTAAACCTAACCCACTACACCACTACCACCTCACCTACTCCACTAAACCTAACCCACTACACCACTACCACCTCACCTACTCCACTAAACCTAACCCACTACACCACTACCACCTCACCTACTCCACTAAACCTAACCCACTACACCACTACCACCTCACCTACTCCACTAAACCTAACCCACTACACCACTACCACCTCACCTACTCCACTAAACCTAACCCACTACACCACTACCACCTCACCTACTCCACTAAACCTAACCCACTACACCTACATCTATATAAGGAACCATTTGTAATAGACAGAAAATATCAGATATCAATCAATAATACATCATTTTTTTAACACCACCCAATACAAGGTGATATCACTTCACATTAACATATGAGATTAGATTCATTTTAAATGTTAGGAAATGACATAAGTGATTGACAATGATTAAAAAAAGAGCAAAAGACTCAATCTCCCACAATATAGATTAAAAACTTCAAAAATGAACACCAGAAATTGCAGATACCCCATAACTCACTACAAATCTAGCAAAGAAAATTTAAAAAATAAAATAAAATTGCACACAACACATAGAATAGTTGATCGTTATTTTCACCAAAAATGCCTAAATCGAGGAAAAAGTAGAATGTGGGATGAATGAAGCAAGCTCCAGAACCAGTGATTGGTGTTTCCCATCTTGTTTTACTATATTCAATGGTTCAAGTTCACAAAAGAGTATTGTTAAAAAAATATAACTTAACTTGTCAGAGAATCATTTTTTGCATGTGAGACTTAAAAATGAAATCACCAATCAGCTACTACACATTTGACATCAATTTCACGTGCACCTTGGTGTAAATGGACCACTCTAAATATATCCAAAACTTGATTGTCATTATACAGTAAATCAAATAGAAAGTGACGATGGCAGAGACAAATAAATCTTGGAACAGCATAAATATCAGAGGAATCAGCAGTGACTCTGGGGTCTCATTACTTCTCATCATGAAAGTTCACAGGCTTAGTCTTTTCTAGAAGTCTAAAGAGACATGCAATAGCATTTCAATAATTCATTTCAGCAAGAGATTGTTGTATAAGCCTTTAAACATGTAGATTTTCAACACCAGTTTGCTCGTCCTGTAACTATTAAATATAACTGAAGGTGAATAATGATCAAGATCGTGTCAGGTGAAAGTTTGGGAGTGAAGAACCACCCAATACAACCAAAAGGATTGTACAAGTAAAAACATTCTTCAAGCTCTTTCTTCATTTATGGATAAAATGAATTCATTATAAGGTCAAGGGTGCACTACCATATACCAATGTATGCACGAAGAGAGAGAGAGAGAGAGAGAGAGAGAGAGATTGCTAGGCTGAAAGAATAAACTGAATCAAGAAACAAATAAAAACTCCCAAAGCTAAAAAGAGAGCTCAAAAACATCAACTTTAGTTGTTAATCCTATGGATTGATTTTGACAATGTCTAAAAAACTACGAGATAAATTGTGATTTTTTAATATACATTTTTTACAATCATTTGACACTATGAAAATAAATTTCGTCATTTTGATATAGATTGCTCGATTTAAAAATAACTAAATTTATTGTGCATCTTTTAAATATTTTAATTTAATATGTAAAAATTTTTTAAAAAAAACAATTCAAATTCTTTCCATATCTTTTCTTATTCATTTCCTTTGATATATTTGAAGTTTTCCTTGGCAAGAATGATGCAAGTCCAAATGGCTAATGAATTCAACTAGAAGAAAAATAGAAGGAAAGAGGAGCTTACCTAGAATCCCTTTGCAACGGCTAGTTTATTCTATGCTGATAAAAGAAGCTTTGTGGAGAAAAGAAAAGATATAGAAGTGGAGAAAAATTTTGGTGATATTCAAGAATTCTCAAAACATTGTGTGGTGCATTTTCATTGAGTTATAATTTATTTTGAGAGAGAGTTAATTGAGAATTTGAGCTTTTATAGTAAAAGGGTCTTGTATCCCTTAATTTTTTCTTGCAGAAGAGAGAATTTTTGTGAGTGATTCGTTGATAAAATCACATGGGTTAGGTGTGACTAGCACCGGATTCACAACTGGTTGGTTGGAGTGATCGGGGTTGATCAATTGTTAAGGTTCACTAGCACCTGTGAAGCTAGGAGCATAACTACAATTTGACGAATAGTGAAAAAATCTCAAGGAGGATCTTGAAGAGTGGACGTAGGTTTAAGCCAAACCACTATAAAATTTGTGTTTGCTCTCTCTTCCCTTCACTTAATTTATTTACTTTTGTCTCATTTTATGGCTTCATATTTATTTCTCATTTGGATTAAATTTTGATTTACTACTCATTTTTATTACTTCATATTTTAATTTGTTTATTATTTGGGTTAATTTTTTTTAATTTAGCAATTCATTTAGAAACCCAATTCACCCCCTTCTTGGGTTGCCTTTTGGTTAACATTAGCTCTACAACAAAAAATTTCCACTCTTCCAAAAGATTGTCCATTACACTCATTTCAAATAATGGCACTGTTGTGGCTTTGCATACACATCTTGCACCCTCCTACGAGCACAACCTACAACCCTCCATAACACCTATTACTTATATAGGCAAGGCCAATTGAATCTCAAAACATTAACACAAACCCAACCCATCATTGAGACCAATGAACAAATGGATAGATCAGAAAGAAAAACTGAAGCAATTTCAGTAAGGTCAAGAAGGATATATTTAGAAAACCCAACATGAAAAAAATCAATTAAATAATGGGTTACCCAAAGCAAAAATCAACCAGGTAAATCATAAATACTAGACAATCATAAGTCAAAAGCACATAGTACCAGTTAGGATCCCTGAAAATCAAAATGAATTATATTTTCATTTCAATATTCCTAGAGTGTTCTGCATGAGCATATGGAAAACAAACAAACAAGGGAACTCCAACAAATTTACAAAAATAATTGTCAGCCAAGTTTCAATTCAAATTATAAAAACAAAAATTAACATTGCTGAGATGCTTGTTACTCACAATTTGTCGATCAATCCGGGCTTGGCATTTAGGTATACGGCTTTTCAGTGTATCAATCTTTATACTTTGTCCCTGGATCTGCTTGTCCACATCATATACCCATGACCATGCAAGCTTCTTCTTTAACAGCTGTGCCTGTTGAGATATTTCTTCTACATGCTCCATGTTTTTAATCTTTTGTTGCAACTCATCCAGTTCTTTCTGTATGGGTCTGATTGAGGATTCTAGCTCTTCAACCAGTTCACTTGCTTCAGCCAGCTGATTCCTAATACTCCTCAAGAGTTCATCCACTTGATGGAGAAGTGTTGCTTTGAAAAAGAACTGAGTAATATATTATTAGTAAAGCACAAACACCAACACCCCACTTTTCAACCAATGGAGAGAAGAAGAAGAAGAAGAAGAAGAAGAAAGAACAAAAACACACGAGAATGCAAAACAGTACACCAGCTTGGAGAGTAATAAGCATAGAGGAAAGTCATTAACCTCCTGTTGTAATTTGTAAATGCAATGGACAAAAGATATTGAAACCCACATGCACTGACAAAAAATCTGCTACAGTTCTTCTCAACTACAACATCTCACCTTGAATTTATCTTTGTCATTCCCTGAATGCAAGAATTCTCTGCTTTTGTCTTGACTCATAATCACACATGGATTCTCCACATCAATCTGCACAATGTAAAGCACAGTATTTGAGAAAACCTCATAGAATGAGTGCCAATTTCAAGCTCAAGAAAAAAGCTATTTCCAAGAAACAGAACTTCAAGATTAAAAAGAAAACATACCCCTCTTCAATTCTCTAACGGAGAGTGAAAAGTAGTTCCACTAACCTAACTGAACAACCTTTTTTTTGGTTTTTTGTAAGTAGAAAAGAAGGGGAAAAGAGATTTAGGAGCTGGAGTGGGAATAAACCCTAGGATTGAATTGAATATAAACCCAATTTCCAAATGCATAGTGGCTTGCAAGAAGATTGTGATTTTGAATTTATCATATAGGTTTAGAAATCCAGATAAACTTTACATAAATAAGGAAGACAATTCAGGGTTTTGGATGGAAAGTGAACTCTTCTAATTCAGCAGGTAACATATTCACCGTCTTGACTAAACAGGTTCTTAGTAAAACACCAGCCCATGCCTAAATTGTCCCAAGATCAAGGATATAGCTCAAAGTCCATTGCTAACCCTTGTGAAAAATGTCAAGTGTGTACAAACCCCGCCTAATTGTGAGGAACCACTTACATAGACTTGGAGTCACGTCATTTGCATAAAATAATTTATAAAAATAGACTACATGCTTTTTGTCAATTATAAAGGACTAATAAAAAAAAACAATTTCATAAGTATATATAACTACCCAATAAACATTAGACTGCTAAATTTGATCTCCTTAGTCGGACTAAGTTCCACCATCTATCCTAAAACCAATTGGTGATAGGAGGCTTCACTCATGTCTTTTATGGCATTCGACATCATACCCCGCTGGCCTATTTTTAGAGGAGTCACAGGGAGTGGCATTGTGTACCAACAATTCCTCCCTCACAATGATGTTCCCACGACTCCAACCCATGACAACTTGGCTCTGATATCACTTGTCATGCAAAGTTCCACCATTTATCCTAAAACCAGTTGGTGATAGGAAGGGCTTCTGATGTAGTAGAATAAATAGATTAAGTGTATGTTAAATAGCTTGTTTGTTGTAGTCTATAAATAGGAGATGTAATACCCATTTTTGTACTTAGCCTTGGAATAAAGAATATACATTGAGATTGGAGTAGAATTTGGTTTCTCTCTCTAACCCTTAGGGGTTTTATCTCTAATTGGGGCATTTGTCTTTTCTCTCTCTATTTGATTCTTGATTTGAATTTGGAGATCATCATTTGGTATCAAAGCAAAGGATTTAGATCCTAATCCTTCAGTATTCCTCTAATTGTTGAGTAAAATCATTACTTGGAGGAGGAACACAGATTCTGCAAGCACAATCTTTGCGAACCCAGACTTTGCAAGAGAATCCAATCTTTGCAAACCCATCGTGATTTGAAGACCCATCGCACATTCGAAGTTGTTGGTGTTCATCGCGACTGTGATCCAACTCTTGACTTGAGTTCTTGAATCGAGTTCAAATCCTAGTTTGAAGAAAACCAAGGGATTACCTTCGCGATCTGATCTCTCTCTGAAGTTTGAAGTCGATTTGCAATCTTCAAGTTTGTAGAAACCCTAGTCGATCGCGATCGTTGAATCGTAGAGATCTAAAGACCTGGTCAAGATCCGAACTCATGTCCAAGTTCTTTTTTCAGATCTGAACTTGTTTTGAAGATCCTATTCAGATCTGAACTTGATCGTTGGTCAAGAACTGAACTCAATTCAAAGTTCCGAGTTGAGATTCGAAAGATGGAGCCTACGCTGAAGATTCGCGACTTGGAACTTCTTCAATCGAACCAGATTCTTCAGAGTTGGACTTCTCACAGTCGATTCTAAGCCTAGATTTCGCAACCTAAATTGAAGCCTGTATTCTAGTTTGAAGCCCTTAATTTGATTCAAATACCCATCGCGATCTAAATGAATAGAAAAGAAATTTGAAATGCGATTTCCAAGTTCGAATCCGACTCCCAGCGGAAAATCCTAAATTGATCCAAAAGGCTTAGGTAAGATTTGAAATCGACCGAAAGTATTGGATGAGATCTAGAACTCACAAGCAATCAAGATTCTGATGATTTTGAGTCAAACCAATCGAAGTTAAGACATGAATCTAACTTCATGACCAAGATTCGACATGCGATCCTTCAAAGTTGGGCTTCTAAGTGTTTGCAAATGAAAGTCAACTTGATCTAGCAATCTGCAAAGTCGACTTTGAATATCTAGCAATCTGGGTTGAACGAAACTTGTTCCTAGACTCGGCCGACTAAGATCAACTTGTTGAGTAAGTGATTTGACTTCCCCTTTTCCAATTTCTTGCTTCGAATCAGTTTCGGTAACAAAGGAAACCATTATGTTCAGTTCTTGAGATGATTGTAATGACTTTGGTTCTTGAATTGATACTAGATTGGTGTTGTGAGAATTCTAGTATTTGATTTTGATCTTGCATGTGCAAATTGTACCTGGAATTTCTTTTTAACTGCTGAGTTCCATTTGCTTTGGGTAGTCATATTGTGTGGTTTCACTGTTCTGTGAGCTAGCATACTTGTTGAATTGTGTAGCTTTACTAGATTGGGTTGTCTTTGGTGCCAATGGCTAATTGGGGTCATGGGTGAAGCGGTGGCCATGGTAGAGCTTATGTTGCGAATTTTGGTGAAGAAAACAAGATGAATTTCTCAATTGGAAGAAGCAATGATGTTTTTCCAAACCAAACCCATAATCAAAGAGATGAGATGAAGCAAATGACCAACAAATTATGCCTTGCAAGAGGTACAATGCTATTTTTGAAAGCTTCAAAGAGTTTATTTGAAGTTGTAAGTGTTTCTTGCTTCTACATGCCTCTTTTGGACATTAGCTTGAGTTGAGTATGACGATGGAAGTGATGCTAACTTGCCGGTTGTGTCTAAGGAACAGAAGGAATAATTCATTGCAATATTCTCGCTCTTGATTAGCTTCTCATGCGTGGTTTTTACCTAGTGGATGCATAGTCGATCCTTTCATCTTTTGTCACATTCTTCACCCTTGCTTTGGAAGCTATCCTTTTGTTAGTCTATTGGTCTCATTCCGATTGAATGAGTATGTCTCTGAACCGGTGTGCCAATATGAGATCAAGGCTTAGGAAAAATGGAGGTTTGTCCAAGCTTTAGCAAGAGTGTATGAAGGGCAAGATGAGGATGTAGTTACATGCATTCAAAGGGATGAATTGAGAGAGCTATGTTTGGGTTGAGCATAGAGATGCAGCGCCTATTCCTACCCTAGATTCAATGCATGGTGTTACATTGAGCACACTTAGCTGCTACTTAAACTTGAGGACAAGTTTCTTAAAGAGGGAGAGTATGATGTAGTAGAATAAATAGATTAGGTGTATGTTAAATAGCTTGTTTGTTATAGTCTATAAATAGGAGATGTAATACCCATTTGTACTTTTTGGAATAAAGAATATACGTTGAGATTGGAGTAGAATTTGGTTTCTCTCTCTAACCCTTAGGGGTTTTACCCCTAATTGGGGCATTTGTCTTTTCTCTCTCTATTTGATTCTTGATTTGAATTTGGAGTTCATCAGCTTTGCTTATGTCTTTTATGGCATTCAGCATCGCACCCCCGCCTATTTTTAGAACAGTCACAGGGAGTGGCATTGTGTACCAACATCATATATAAGCAAGAATCAACATATATGAGAAAATATTCCAAATATGTCAGCCAAAGGTTGAATGTGAGCTTGGTTCAAACAACATATAGGGTGGCCAATACACAGAAATATATGATCATGGCAGCAATCTGGAAACTTTGTTGAACATAAACAGAGAGATATCTGAGGTTTACTTCACACCGCAAGTTGACAAGTAGTAGCCAAGGTTCATCCAAATCCAAATCCAAATCCAAATCCAAAATGCCAAAGAGAGAAGGACCTATGGATGTTTATTTCACACCCAATCCTGAATCAGTGGTTAAAAATCGAAGAGACCAAGCAAAAGGGAAACAAACCAAAATTGATGCAAATGACCCTTACAAAAAAGAAATGAGAGCTCGGGCCCTGCAAAGATTTGCAAGGTAGATGTATGATGCTGGTATCCCTTTTAATGCAGTAAATTATGAGAGTTTTGGACCAATGATTGAAGCCATTGGCCAATATGGTCCCTGGTATGAAGCCACCGACTTACCATGAAGTGCGTGTTACCCAACTCAAAAAAGAAGTGAAACATATTGAAGATTTGATGAAGTATCATAAAGAGGATTGTGCAAAATAGGGGTGTTCCATAATGGCTGATGGTTGGACTGATAAGAGAGGAAGGACATTGATTAACTTTTTAGTTAATTGTCCAAGTGGAACCATGTTTGTTGAGTCAGTTGATGCTTCTAGCTATTCAAAGGATGGGCAAAAACTATTTGAATTACTAGACAAGTTTGTGGAGAAAGTTGGAAAAGAGAATGTGGTGCAAGTTATCACTGATAGTGCTGCAGCTAATGTGTTGGCGGGTAAGAATATTTCCTCATTCCTTACATCAAAATTGTTTACTCATAGTTTGTTTTGTATTTAAAATTTAAAAACTTGAAAATAATAATTCTTCGTTATTGTTACATTATAGAGAGGTTTTTGGAAGCTAAGTATGAACACTTGTATTGGACACCATGTGCTAGTCATTGTTTGGACTTGATGTTAGAAGACATTTTCAAGATACCTAGACTGAAAAAGACATTTGAAAGGGGTATTGCAGTACATGGCTACATTTACAATCGGCCTACGTTGCTAAACATGATGAGGCGCTATACAAATTTGAAGAATTTGATCAAGCCTGCAAAAACTAGATTTGCAACCGCCTTTTTGACTTTGTCTAGAATGCATCAACAAAAAAACAATTTGAGAAAGATGGTGACCTCCGAAGACTGAACCTCAAGCAAATGGGCAATGGAGCCACAAGGTAAAAGAATGACACAAGCTTTGTTGATGCCTTCATTTTGGAATACTGTTGTGTTTGCCCTTAAGGTCTCGGGTCCTCTTGTCAAAGTGCTTAGATTGGTTGATACCGAGAAAAAACCTCCCATGGGATACATTTATGAGGCAATGGATAGGGCAAAAGAATGCATTGCAAGTTCATTTGATCATAAAGAAGAGAAGTATAATGAAATCTTCGAAATCATCGACAAAAGATGGGAGGTCCAATTGCATCGGCCTTTACATGCAGCTGCACATTTTCTTAACCCAGAATTCTTTTACCCAAAAGCGTTAGAGGTGCAAAGAGATCATGAAGTGATGAATGGGTTTTATGAATGCATGCAAAGGTTTGTCCCGGATGTCACTGTTCAAGATTTGATCACTAATGAGATAAGTATTTATATGAAGGCTGAGAGTCTTTTTGGCAAGTCTGTTGCGATTAGGCAAAGAAATACAAGAGCACCAGGTAATATATTATACACTCATAGAGTTTATTTTTAGTAATACTTTTAGTAAAACTCAATACTTGGTAACAGTTATTTCGGTAATATATTATACACTCATAGAGTTTATTTTTAGTAATACTTTTAGTAAAACTCAATACTTGGTAACAGTTATTTCTAACTAGTGGATTATCGTAGCCGATTGGTGGGCATCATCTGGTTCTTATACTCCAAACTTGCAAACTTTTGCCATAAAAGTTCTTAGCCTAACATGTATTTCATCGGGTTGTGAACGAAATTAGAGTGTATTCGAACATGTGAGTATTTAACATTCTAACTAATTTTTTGTTCAATTCAAATATTTTTTATTCTCATTATATAAAATTTAATATCTTTTTAATACTTGCAGCTTCATAACAAGAAAAGAAATAGATTGGAACAACGTCTCAATGATTTAGTGTATGTCAAATACAATAGAACATTGAGATTTAGGTATGACATGCGCAACACTCTTGATCCCATATCTTTGCAAAATATTGATGAAAGCAATGAGTGGTTGCTTGGGAGGATGGATGGAAAATCAGATGAAGATAATGAGCCTGTGTTTGATGATAATAATGGCTTGACGTGGGCCACTGTTGCTAGATCTTCTGGAGTAGAAGAAAATAGCCATGCAAGTAGAGCAACAAGTTCACGCTCAAAGGCACAACCGAGGATAGCTAAATCATCAAGATTAACTCCACTTCAATTAATAGATGAAGAGGAAGCGGGCTCAGATGACACAGAGGAGGAAGATGTTGAGGGATACAAATCAACTGATGGAGAAGAAGATAATAGTTTGCTTGCCATTGATGTTGAGGATGATGATTGACTGACCGACCTAACCTACCCTTTCTTTTGATGTTGATGTTTTAAAGTGTTAAGACATATATTAGTATTTGTTGGATATTTATGTTTTAGATGTTTAGTGTTTATGTTTATGTTTTTTGATATTTGAAATGTTATGTAATATGCACTTTCATGCCTTTGAGAATTATTCTATATTTTGTCTTGAATCTTGATTACTTTTTATTTTAAAAAAAATTGTCTTAGTACTATGAATGATTAGTCTATGTTAATTTATCTATTTTTCAATAAAGCCCGCGCCTCGCCTTGGGCCTTGCGCCTAGGCCCCGAGAGACCTTTAGCGCCTTAGTGCGCCTTGAGCCTTTAAAAACACTGCTGTAAATCATGAAGGACCAATTTAGGTATAACTTACAGCTGTTATGCAATAGAACAACTGTAATTTAAAACCACCCCTTCTAGATAGGGAAATGCAAACAAAATAACTAAACCGAAAACCGAATCAAAGCCAACCTCCATATTTTGTTTTGTTTGGTTCGTTGGAGTGGCAATTCGACTCTGGTTCTCAATTTGATATAACCGTGCAAAACTTGTTTGATTTTCGGTTGAACCAACCTAAGGCCCAAGGTCACATAAAGATACCTCTACTTTAGACAATAATTTAAAACCACAGCTTACGGGTAGGGGAATGCAAACAAACTAACTAAACCAAGAATTGAATCAAAGCCGACCTCCATATTTTGTTAAGTTTGGTTCTTCAGAGAGGCAGTTCAACTTTGGTTCTCAATTTGAAATAACTATGCAAAACTTGTTTGAACCAACCCACGGCCCAAGGTCATATAAAGATACCTCTACTTTAGACCACCAGATGTTTCTTCACAATAGCTTTTAATAAAGACGAGATAATTGAAACTTGGTTCCGAGTTATCAAATAAACAAATAAATAAAGCTTTATCACATCCCATTCTTGCATATCTCATTGGTCGTCTTCTAATATAAAACAAGACTTGCATACCACTGCCTCTCTACGATTCAATGTTTTTTGCAAATTAACAGGTTTAGATACCATCCGGGTCAACCTTTTGGCTGGGCCAATCCCATGATTATCATCCTAGCAAGCAGACCATTGAGCTTAAAAAATAAAGTTAAAATTTTGCAAAGACTGCAGTTTAGAACCGAACTGGTTCCAAGAAGCATATATAACATAGCCAAGCAACTACCGGTACCATAGTCTGGTGATAATAACTACAATGTGCTTGATTGTGGGAGATTGCGAAATGAAAGTACTAGGAAATGCTTAATCAGATCAATTACACAATGACATTCTCTAACAGAAGGCGAAGACGAACGCGTGATATTAACCACAGGAGTTGAATGTAATCATACAAACACAACACCCCAAAGAAGAGGGTAAAAAAGTGGCAATGTTTGTGTAAAAGTATGCGACGAAAGCATTATGTTGAAATGACAAAAACACGTTAGACCAACCATGCAGCACTTCCCTCTACCAAAGTATAAATGTAAATAACTATTTAACTTATTACAAGAGAAGTATAACAACAAAAAACACAACAAAGGAAGGCATAAGTCTGCACTCTGCATATAAATACTGATAAAACTCACATTGAAATGTTCTATAAGCTCACGTAGATCTTCCTTGCGACTAGCTACCTTTCTTCCTGCCAAATAACTCCGAAAAAAAGATCAAGTGAATACCAAGACCTCTGGCATTAAATCATGAAGATTTACAAAAGCAGAAAAGCAAATGACAAAGAAAAAGAAAAATCACCAAATAAGGATTTGATAGCAACCAGAATAACTCCACTCCACAGCCCCGTATTGCATATTCCAACAACGAACATAAATGGCACGAAGCTCAAGAATGTAAATCAAAGCGTTTGGAACTTAACAATATTATTGGGTGCAGTTAAGCTTCTGTTTAAACTTGAGAATTATTTTTATTATTTTCAATAAATACATTGCTAGTACAATTTCAATTTTTACATTTTAATAGTATATGGTATTTTGGTAATTTAAAAAAAATGGGCACACATTGTAGTTGTAGTGCATTGGTCCTATAATATGTTTATGTCATTTGGGTCCTAACAAGTCTTCAGTAAATCTCAAATAGTCTTATTGGTCAAAGTTACTTAGTTTTGTAATTTGAAGTTCTGTCATAGAAAATGTAGATCTTACTAGAATTTGAGTTTGTATCATTTTGACTAAGTTCGCAAAATTTAGTTGACTTAGTTGGCCTATTTTGGAACATCCTATTTTAGCCAAAAAGTCACTATAAAAAAGTCAGCTATTCTCTCTACCGTTTTGCACGTCTTTTTGTAAAAAATAAAAAGTCACTAAAAAAGCCAATTCCCAAAGCAACCCTTAGTGTTCCTTACTCCAACTCGTTGAACATATACCAATGTATCGAAGAATTTTTTGATTTATGGTTTAGGTGCGGCTTCTCTTTAATATTTGAATTGCAACTAATACACACGTGTGCACACACACAAATATTGTCCCATACCATTTATTATCCCAAACTTTAACTAAGATGAATTCAATATTTTGATTTTCATGAGTTTAACACTATATTCAATAAAAATCACAAATGGAACAAAAAGCTAACAAAAGAATAATAGTCAATAAGAACAAACTTTGTGTTAGAACAATATGAAGGAAAAAAAAAACAAAAAAACAAAAGGACCTACACCTAGCCATATCTAAGATACCTTAAATATATCAGCTGTAAAATTACTAAGTAAACTCAAAAATAAATCATAAAAAGAAGAAATAAAGAGACTTCACCATTAACTATAGTTTCGCACCAAAATCATTTCATCATACTTATTGATCGCTTATTCTATGAAATTACAGGACTCATCTACCCCTTTTTTATAGAGTAGAGTCATTTAATTTAAAAACATTTTGTATAAACAACCAAAAACAGGCCTTGTTTGGAAGATAGATTTCAAGAAGGAAAAAACGAAAAACATTAAATGACTAAGAAATCAAAATAAATATTTATAAAATATAAAAATAAAAATAAAAATAAAAATAAAAACAAACACTATCACCCTAAGGAAAGGATAATCTGTGACAACCAAACCGTTCATGCATCATATGGATCTTATTATTCTTGCATTCATGCCATATGATCTATGCTTATGTGATACAGGGCTTGATATGTAATAGGGAGAGAAGAAGAAGAAGAAGAAAAAGAAGAAGAAGAAGAAGAAGAAGAAGTTTGAAAGGTTATATTTAGAACTTGTATGTTTTGTGCCTTGAGTTAGGGGATAGCTTAAAACTTGATTTGAAAACTATAGGGTATGCCTATGCCTTAAGTGAGGAGCTTAAAGACCTCAGTCTAATGAACATGTCCATTTCATGCTATTTGTCATTTTGCTAATTAGGATTAGTGATAATCAAGTGTAATTAGTGAACCCTAATTAGGATTAATTAGGTTAAGTAAGATTAAGATTAGATTAGATTACTTACTCCTACACTTAATTAATTAAATTTAAGGAAGAAATTAGCTAACTAATGAAGTTACAACTTTTGTCCCACCACACCAAATAAAAACTTAGACTCAAAAGCAAACAAAAGGAAGAAGAATTCTGCAGATTGTAGAACCAACGTGAAAGAAGAAAAGAGGAGAAGAAAAGAGAAAAAGGGAGGAAAAGGGGAGAACTAAAGAATTCTACCAAAAATCCATCCTAGAAAATCCTAAATACTATAGTAGACCTTCCTAACATCTAAAGATTGAAAAGAAACTAGGATCAATTTGGTTTAGAAATGAAGATTTGAGAAGACGAATGAAGAAAGTTTAGTTAAAGTGAAAAACAACGCAAATAGCTTAAGAATTTCAACCTTTTGATGTGATTCTTGATGTTTTTGATGCACATAAATCTTAATCTTCATATCTTCTCTTGTTTTTCAAGAAGTTTTGAAATTTAAATCCATGTTCTAGGAAGGAAGGAAGGAAGGTTTTGAAAAGGGAACTAGGTTCAAAGAATTTAATAACTTAAATCATGAATTTGATCTTTCAAACTTAGAATTTCATTGTGTTTTGGAGTTCTGATTTGGAAAACAATTGTATTTTCATATTCCCTATTGATTTTGCATGTTGTAGGTAAGTTTCCATAAGTTCCACACCAAGCAAGTGAAAGAAATGAGTTAGAACACTTGCTTTTCCCGAACAGATACGCTGTTGTTGCCCCAGAACCACACGTGCAGCAAGGGCCCCAGCATTCCTGCACGTGCAGAAATTGCTCCCCTGTTCCTATTGAGTTCGGAAATAATTGTAGGTGTGCCCGCTCCTGCCCCAGCCAAACCACACATGCAGATTTGGTCCCGCACGTGCGGAAATTCCAATTTTTGCTTATGCTTTTGTTTTGCAAACCTCATTCACATTGGACACTTCTTCTACCCATTTGACACCTAGATAAAGATTGAATTAGATTTAAAGCAATGCTAGAACATTTGAGAGAATTTAGGGAAAATGTTTAACTAAGTTTAGACAACCGATTTGTTATATGTGTATGTGTAAGTTAGAAGTTCAATACTTTGCTCTTGTTTTGTAGGTCAAGCCTTGGAAGGAGTTAAACTCTTGTTCACGGAGCCATTTGTGAATAGCAGTGTAGTAAAGTTCTGTTTCTTAAATTTATGATTTGCAATGCAAACGTATGATATGTTTAAGGAAACTATAATATTGTTTTGCTATGTATGAACATCATATAATTTTTGTATCATGTATTAAGGTGACTTCTTGGAACAAGTTTGTTATTGGGAATCAAGCTGATGACCTCTAGCTAACCGAGCTCTTTGCACCCATTGTAGCCTCTTGTTTCAAAAATCCTTGGAATGTTCATCACTATGTATATGCTTGTAAGTTAAGCTTTGTTTATCATGTACAAATCATATTTATGTTCGATATGAGCTTGTGCATGGTTTTAATAAATTTTATCAGTGTTCATTCATTTACCACTTTACTATATTGTCATTCACTGGGCTTTGGCTCACCCCTTTCCCCTATATGTATGTAGGTGATGACGAAGAGCAAGTTCAAGAAGAGATAACGAGTTAGAAGTCTTTTCTTTTTGCTTTTGTACTTTTGGAAGCGATGTTTAGAGATGGTGACTTGTGTATTTATGTTTTGGGTTTTACTTTGATATAAATTTGTAAATGTTGTAACTTCTTTTTGGTTGTTGGATTTGTAAATGTCGATAAATAAATAAGATGTATGTTTGTTTTTGTTTTCATATGACTTATGAACACGCTCTGAATGGACTCTTGATAATTAATGGACAAAAGTTTTCCGAGTAAGCCCCAATGTTTTAGTCCAGTCTTGTCTTGTCTTGCTAGGCCCAGTCATAACTACTATCCTGTTTGGGGCGGGATGGGGTTGTGACATAATCTCTATGGAAGATTCCCCTTGATGACAAGAAGACTCCCACACCATCATTTTACATTCAATCAATGACAAAGAATCATGGAAAAAAATAACAAAAGACCATATAGGATAATAGGAAAACATGGAAATGTAACAACAGCCATCATAACCCTAACCTTTTTAGTAAGTTTCATAAACATTTCTCAGTTTTTGTCTTCCTAGAATCAAGCAAAGCATAGGGTCCTTCAATCCTTCCCAAAAATAACTACCTTGTGCAGTTCTAGTTAGCAATCAAGAATTAAAGGAAGATTAGGATTTGAGAAAACCTTGGTGATTTTTTAAGGCAGTAGAACTGGTTGCTTCTGATATCCTGCGTTCTATTATTATGACATCCCCATATACGTCTGGCTTAAAAGCATCCTCCCCTTGATTTTTAATTTCCACATCGACAACAGCATAGCTGTAGCAGTAAATCCATAAAAATACGCAAATATCAGATCAACCATGAAAACTTGATCAAAATGATGCAATTTCGTTAGAGATTTTGAAAACTAAAGCAACAATATAAGACACCAACCTTGAAAAACTAATAGTTGAAAGTAAAAGAATTTCATTTAAAAATAGAGAGTAAAGTGGTGCAGTTGCCACAACGTTTTCAGTGCATAATGCAATAGGGACAACATATACTCTTTCACACTGGTTTTTTTATAAGTAGAAATACGTTTATGAATAAGGACAACAAGAGGGTGTAATCTATATACAAAAGCAAAAGATTTGTATCAACTATACAACAAAGTCTTAGTCAAAAGCCTCTACAAAGTTCCAAAGTCGGTCCAAGGACGGATTAGCAGTGCCTAAAAACCAATGCAGGAAATAGCATAAAGACGTGCTAAGAGTTCCATAAGTACCCCCCACCTCCTAATCATTCAACTCTATATGGCAGCCAATATCCCAAAACAAAAAAAGAAAAAAAAAATAACTACCTTCTATGTCCAGCTACTCACCAGTAGACACATCTCTATAATAACAATATCAGCAATAACAATATCAGCAATAGCAGGATAAGTGACTTCCAATTTCTCTTGTCCATACCAAAGAAGGCTCCAAAAACCTCACCTCCACACCACTTCCGACAACAAACTATATGTGACCTGAAAAAGAATCCCACCCACTTCTAATACCCTTCCAAAGCCCTACGCCATGAGACAAAGCAGCCTCCATTGAAGACCAACCCCCTTCCCCCATATGCACCCATATTTAGACTCTACCACCCCTGTCCGATACCTCTACTTCTCACAATCAAATCTCCAAAGCCATTTCCCCCATGATCTATGGAATGAGATGATAATACCTCCAATTACATCCACGTCATCTTTGACCATCCATCTAATAGGAACCGAGGACTTGTCCTCCAAAGTATCTAGCTAATCACCCTGATCACAAAGGACTTCAGGTAATCCCAGCATTTCCTCTTTGATTGCAAAACCCCATCACAACAAGTTTAGAGACAGGATGGTGACCTTCATAATATCTAACAATACTTGCTATTCCTTATTTGTGATGATTATTAAGTAAGAAACCATCACAGTTGATTATCAACACCTCCCTTGCTGTGGACAATGGACCTTGATAACTGTATCCGACTTTAACAAACCAGTGACTGATCTATAAGAATCATGTGGAATGATATTCCTTCAAGTTCTTAGGGTAACTAAAATTTAGATATAAGTTGAAAGAAAATCTTGTCCCAAGCAAACACCACCGAATTCTAAGAACTTATCCACCAAAATTCTAGCAATGTCTTCCCACAACACCTATGTGGTTTAATTCAAACTAATAAATTGTCATAATATGTGATAAGTTAATTCAAAATTTCTTCTTTTTTTTTTTTTAAAAGTCCCCCAATGCACCAATAAAGCTTCCTAGTTTTACAAGTACATTCTCTCACATAATGATTAATTTTTTCACATAATTACTATGACTTCAAGCACAATATAAAACAAAAACAATAATTATACAAAAAAAAACTCAAAAAAAACAAAAAAAAAAAAAGCGGGGCAAACTTGACACAAACCTGCAGCCAGTCTTTATGAAATCCTTCAATGTGGCCGCCCTCTGCGTGCCTTTGGCTCGACACCCAAAAGCAACACACAGTGCAGTCAATATCGCACTCTTGCCACCTATTCACATCAAAATCATCAAAATTTCACCATGATTGTTACATATTTACACACATATATGATATACATATATATATACACACACAATAACACAAAGAAACAGAGGCAGACAAAGAAACTTACTTCCATTTTGGCCTGTGATGAAATTGACACAATCGCCTAACTCGATTTCCAATTTACTGTGACACATGAAGTTCTCTAATCGGATCTTTGAGATTATACCTGCTTGAAGGCGGCACGGGTAACCGGCTGGTCCGGTAAAAGTCCTAGATTCTGCCATCGTTTCGTTCTCTAGGGTTCTTCCGGGAGGAAGAAACAGAGCACGCAGGTTGAGAGATATCGAAAGTACTTCCAGATACCTAATAGGTCTCTTTCTCTCTCTCTCTCTCAATCTATAGCTCTGACAGGAACTATGGCGGGAAAATGAAATTGCCTCTGTGGGGCTGACGAGGCCTATTTTGGAAGTGGGTTAAAACTCCCTTCCAGCTTAATCCACTCCTTTCGTGATTGTTTTGTATATGGATGGGATAAATGTCAGGTGGCACCTTTTATTGTGATTACTAGTAGACATACATGTCAGGTGGCACCTTATTTAAAGAATATATATTTATATATATATTTATATTGAATATTTAAAGAATAATAATACACATATATATTTGTGATTAGCGAAAAATAGTGACATATAATATGTTATTAGTATATAAAAAGAATTTCACTTTTCTCTTTCATAAAAAAATAAAAAAAATAACTTTTAATCATTTTTTTAAAACACTTCTGAATATGACTCTTCCTAAGTCAGTTGGTTTGGTCTAAGACGAGGGATTTACCGTGATATGAGTGGGATGAAGTGATAAAAATTATTAATATAATAGTGTTAGATTGAAAATATAAGATAAAGGGTATTTGTTTATAAAATTAATATTTTTATTTTTTAATATTTTTTTAAGGAGAAATTTATAATGTGCACCCTTTTAAATAGTGCATATTGTAAAAAATTTATGATTTTTTATAATGAATATTATAATTATTTGTGATATATGTTATGACATTTTGTAATAAAATTATAAATAACGAATTTATGATATGCATTCTAAAGAGGTGCATATGATATGCCTTTCATAACTTTTTCATAAATTTTCATAACTTAAACCTAAAATGTCATAATTTTTTTACTACAAAAGTCATAATTTTTTTCAGTGAAAAATATTATAACAAAATCTCAAAGAGGTGCATATGATTTTTTATGATGAATGTTATGATTGTTTGTGATATATGTTATGACATTTTGTTGTAAAGTTATAAATAGCAAATTTACAATGTGCATTCTTAGAGAGGTGCATATTTCATAACTTTTTCATAAAATTTCATAACTTAAACCTAAAATGTCATAATTTTTTTATTACAAGAGTCATAATTTTTTTTCACTGAAAAATGTTATAACAAAATCTCAACATATCATAACAAAAATCACAAAATGTCATAATATTATCAATCTGAACTTTAGGGTGCACATTATAAATTCCTTATTTATAACTTTATTATAAAATGTTATAACACACATCACAAATAATTATAACATTCATCATAAAAAAATCATAACTTTTTTATAATATGCACCCTTTGAAAATGTGCACATTGTAAATTTCTCCTTTTAAAATATATATATATATAATATTGTTGCAATAGTCAATTATTTTCCTAGTTTAGGATTGATTTTTCAATCCTATCTTTGGAGAGGAAAAGCTAATCTAGTGGTGGTGTAAGATTAGCAATGAGGTCGGGGTAACAATTCCATCCAATAATGAAGCCATCAAACAAGTTGTTGTGGGATCTACATCTTACCTCATAGTCAGTCAAACAAGCATGCCCTTAGTATATATACAGGGGTTTGTTTCGAAATAATAATTTTAGCCAAATTTTGTGACTAATTTAGTTTGACTAAATTAGTTTCGTTTGAGAAAAACATTTTAGCGTTTTTGACTCTTTAATTTTTTAAGAGAAAAAATAAAATGATTATAATTTTGACATTACGTTTTTTCTTATTGACTTATTTAACCTATTTTATCTTTTTATATTCTTTTAGTCCTAATCTAAACGCAACTCACTTGTCAAACAAGGACATAATAAATAGGCCGTGATCAAATGTGGTCGACTAAAATTTGAGATTTAACAATTGCTAAAAATTGAGATTAAGTTTAGATTTTATTCACATTTTAACGTAAGAAAACCTGAGAAAGTACAGAGTCAAATAAGTGTTAGACCCTCAACAAAAAAAAAATGGATTAAGTTGATAGAGAGTGCTATTACGTAGAGGTGGGCGCGGGTCAGTTGCGGCCACGAAACCTCCAATCCGCCATCCGTCCGCCAAATTGGCAAATTGGAGAAAATCAGTCCGCATCCGTCCACCAATCCGGCAAATGTGGATTGAGCGGATTGGCGGTTTAGCGGATGGATGCGAATCGGTTTGGCGGTTTAAGATTTTATAAATTTTCAACATAATTCAACTTGTGCACTTCCTCAAGAAAAAAAGAAAAAAGAAATAAAGTATTACAGTCAATGACTTAAAAAACTATTACAATTACTGTATGTCTCATCCAAAAAAAGAAAGTTTAAAACTTTAGAATATCACAATCACTGCATGGCTCATCCACATATTACAATCACAGCATGATTCATCCACATAAAGTATTACAATCTGTGGTTCTTAAAATATAATAACAATTCAAACCACCAAAACCATAAACAGAGCAGTAGTAGAGATTGTATGTCTCTGTATTGTTACATCTATATATGTTTTTGAAAACAAAAACCAACCAGCATATATCATATTTTCTATTTATTATTTTTAGAGTTAAATTTAAAAATCAAAAAATATAGATAAATAATACGTTTATTTTTTTCAATTCAAAAAATATATTCAAGTTGAAAACTATTTTTCAACAGAATATTTAAACTAATTTTCAATTAAAAGCACAAACAAAATATTTAAACAAATTGAAAACATAAAGTCTTATAAATTATTAGGGGTGCTCGCGATTTGGCGGTTCGATTGCGGCCAAAGGAATCTCAAATCCGCCATCCGTTCGCCAAATTGGCGGATTGGAGAAAATCAATCCGCAACCCTCCGCTCATCATCACGCATCCGTCCAAAATGCGGCGGATCGGTTCAGTTCAGTCGATTTTGACGGATCGTATATCCATTGCTCACCCCTACTATTACGAGACGCTAGGCTTTGGAATTGAAAAAAAAAAACTGCTTTCCCTCTCTCTCTTCCGTTAGCCACTTTTGCTCATTAAGTTTTTGTTTGGTCTAACCTATTACAATATTCCAATGTTCATCATTTTCAAGTTAATGCTCCCAACGGTAAATCGACCATTTGATATTCTTTTACTTATGATAGGGCCTTCAATATATATCATTTATAAAAAAAAAATTAGCTCAATCCGATAATTAAAATATTTTCATTTTATCACTTTTTTTTTTTGAACTAATCATTTTATCACATTTGTCTCTGAAAAATTGACGATAAATATATTTTTTAAAATATACCATCAATTTTTTAGAGACAAATATCATAAAATGAAAGGATTACAATTATCGAATTAATCTAATTGTTTTCATAGAGAATATATATTGAAATTTTTATAAAATGAACAGTTCGGATCATCAAAATAACACGCGTGGTGGCCCCATGGCCCCTCAAGTTTTCTCATATTGAGATGTAAATATGAGAGAAATCCAACCCTGAATCTAAGGCAATCATGCCACAAATTAATTTCAAAACTTTTAGAGTCAAAGTCGTAAGTTTTATTCTTTTATGACCAAGAAGACAATAATAATTTGGAAAAAATGGAAGGATGAAAGAAATATAATTTGATGGAAAAAAAAATAAGAAATAAGAAAATAGATGAAAACATCTAAAATAATGGTAAATTAGTGGGAATCTTTGGTAAATTACAAACCAACCATTTATTTGTTTTCGTTCTTATTTTTTTTTCTAAAAAATATTATTTACACAAAACCCTCAAAATTATTGAGAATTATCACTTTGACGCCTTAAACTATAATAAAATACAAATAGACTCCTAAACTATTGAGAAATATCACTTTACCCTTTAAACTATAAAAGTGTACAAATGTCAGTAAATTATAAAAATATACAGATTGGACTATTAATAAAAGCAATCAAAGTTAAACATGCCAACAATTTAAAGGGTCCATTTGTACGTTTTTATAGTTTAGAAGGGCAAAATGATACTTCTCAATAGTTCAGGGAGTTCATTTATGTTTGGATTGAGTGATTTGGAGAGAGAAGAAAAGAAATTGAGAGATATGCATTTCTCTTACTTGTTTGGATAACCTAAGTGGAGAGAAATGGAAAGAAATTGAGAGAAATTGAGAGAAACTCATTTCTCTTATAAGCCTCATTTTCAATCTTCCCAAAAGTAGAGAGATTGGGAGAGAAAAGAAACCACTATTTTCATAATACCAATTTTGTCCCTATAAAATAAAAGAAATAAAATGATTGAAAATATAAAAAGGTTATTTTGGTAATATAACATAAAATAATTTCTTTTCTTTTCTCTTAATGAAATCTAACCAAACAAGAATGAGAGAAATCATAATCATTTCTTTTCTTTTATTTCTTCCTTATCCAAACAAAAATGAGAGAAATCACAATCATTTCATTTCTTTTCTTTTCTTTTCTCTTATTACTTAAGTAATCATTTCTTTTCTTTTCTCTCCTAGGTTCTCAAACACAGTGTTAAAGTTTAAGAGATCAAAGTGATACTTCTCAATAGTTTAAGAGATCTCTATGTAAATAACAATTCTAAAAATCGTAGTCATCTCATGTGCTCTTTCTTGCACTAACGACGGCAATGGCACCCATTCCCAACCTCGTTGACCCCTTCCCTACCTATCTCCCTCCGCCTTATCTCACCCCCCTTCGTTGTGGCCACCATTGTAAACCCCCAACTAGATTGGCCAACCCAAATTTTCTCTCACTCTATTCCTACCATTGTAGACTTACTTATACCCTCCTTTAACCACTGTAATCCCTATCCCACTACCAGATTGAGCCTTGGTGACTAGATCGCGACCAGCCATGTATCTCTTTCTATCTCATTTTTACGTTTTCTAAAATGGCAAAGCGTAAGAGGTTTCCAATGGTGGCTATATCGTGGGCTAATTTGGAGAAATAAGTAAGAAAGGTTGGATATGACGATGGTTGTGGAAGTGGAAGGGGGTTATGGTGGTAAATGAAGGGACTACGATAGTAGGAAGGTCTAAGAGATAAGGTTACAATAGTGGGATGGGTGATGGGGGTTGCTGTGGTGGGAAGGCCTGTTACCAGCCATTAAAGTTACAAAGGGAGAGGAATAAAAAGAATCGAAAATGGTATTTTTGTTTTCGATTTGAGAGGTTTTTGAGATTTGGGTAATGCGATGGGACAGAGAAGACAAAACAGTTCATTGGTGATTGGTTAAGGTAGGAAAAGAGTGGCAATGGCGACGGCGT